ATAAAACAAAGACAGAAATTTCCAAGTACTCTGTGGTGCAGCGTGCAACAGTGAGTGGATATTATCAGCTCTGCATGCAAGTCAGTCACACTGAGCTTCCTCTCCATACGGGAGCGACTGTAACTAGACCTTTGTGTGTTTTTGCATCTGGATACTTGTTCTGTAACCTCCCTCCCCCTTCTGTAATAAGTGAATTCTCCGACTGGATTGGCATCCTCTCCTTCCATTGCCACAGGACAGGACAGAGCTACCGAACTGACCACTGCAGTAATCATCCCCTCTTTCACTCATTGTCTCTTTTAAAGCCTCTGGTTGGTTGTCAATGTTGCTGTGGCTCTGTGCTCCTGCCACGACTAAATCCTGAACCAGAGAGTGTCACAGTTTCACTTCAGTATGTCACTTTACTGAATTGCCCACAGGCGCAGATGAGTCATTAACAAACTCTAATGACTCTAAATGAAGAGGACTTCATTATCGGGTACAGTGAGAATACAAACAAATAAAACAGTGTGGCTACAGATGAAACAGCTACAGATCATTTTTGAGATAGTGAGACCTGCTTTGGCGCAGGAATATTAAAGCTGCATTATCAAAGATTTTGCACAGATTTGGATAAATTAAGTCAAAAATTGTCTAGAAGCCTTTTCTCCCTGCTGTACTAAACCCCACCACCCCACTCTGCTATCTTCAGGCCTTTTGTTTATTTCTTGCCCTCTGTGGCCACTGTTGTTAAAATTAGCACCACACTTCTTCCACGCCCCTGATGATTCGAGGTTATATGATGCGCTTTTCATTGAAAATGATGCGATAATGGCATTAGTACTGTAGTACTGTAGCACTATTACTGAAAAAACATCCCTCTGTATAATTTGCTTGTGTTAATGCAGATACATCTGCTACAAACAACGTTAGACATACATATGTCGCTAGAATGTAAACCTCTTTATCTGACACTGTGACGCTACAATGCCACCAAAAACAACAGCCTCCACGGGCCCTATATTCCGTATACATTAGTTCTAGAGCCGGTTATTACTGCTGCACTACCTGACTTCTACAAGTGCCTCCGGATCTTGTGACCACATATGACATAATTTCGATTCCAGGGAAGGAGGGCAAAGAGGAGTGGGGGGAGAAGAGGAGGGGGTACTGTTTGTTTTTACTCTCATTAACCTCTTAATAGTCAAAAATTAGAGGGAGAAGTTAGTTAATGCAACTTTAATGGTAAAAAGATAAGAACAAACATTGCACTGGAATCAAGTCAAGTCAACCTTACACTTAGAAACCACGATAAAGAGTAAGAATAAAATATTGAAAGGATAAGAGACCACTTCCGTACAGCTATAATGTTTTTATTGTTTAAAAAACTCTATGCGTATATCTTTGTTTTTAACTCAATAGCTAGTGTACAGTATGTACTTGTGAGCCGTGCCATAAACAAATTTCCAACAGCTCTTTTGGTTCTGTTTCTGACATTAAATACAGCAGGACTGTGTTTTAATCAGGCTACTAGAGAAATGTCAACATTTAATGATATGCAGAGAGAAGCTGGTCATAAGTTAAAAACAATTCTATGTTCGAGCTACAATATGGGATATTTACATATTCATCCATCCATCCATTATCTACTCTGCTTATTCCTGAATAGGGTCATGGGATATCGAGCCTAATTACATATTCAAAATCATTGAAATCATTAAAGATATACTGAAGTTACCAGCCTTGAAAAAGGAGTCAGTGGCATTACACTGGACGAAAGTAATGGGAATAAGACTTGACTTCTATTGTGCATGTCTGTGTCCCCCCCATGTACCTGAAAGCTTCAATGATGTAGGAGGTGACCGCAGCACCGCCTTCATGAGGATTGGACTGCCAGGTGAGGGTGACAGTGTTTTTGGTCACCTCCGTCACCACTGGCTTCTGGGGAGGCCCCGGAAGCTGGATGAACTCAGAAACTCTGGATACGGGAGCAGCTCCATCCTCTGTTAACAGAAACAAGAAACCAGGAAAAATGGATCAGTTCTGATCAACATTCTGGTTGAAAGTGGAATGGATTTTGTCCTGTCATGGCTACAGACTGTGCTCTTATGAAACACACTGTCAGAATTTGTAGTTGCTCTTGCTCGGAGGTGTAGTGTGAGGGCGGCAGAGTGTGAAGAGTAACAGAGAGACAGAGTGTGAACTGCTTTGGTGTGAGTACCTTTGACGGTCAGCATCCCACTCCAGCTCGACTCCCCTGTGGCGCTGGATACCATGCACGTGTACATCCCCGTGTCTGTGTCCTGTTAAATATCAGTCAACATTTCAGACAGACACCAAAAAACCAGTCAGATGGAACAAATGCTGCAAGCTGTTTTACATGTTGGACTGAAGTTCTGGATCTGTTTAGATGACTAAAAGAACGTGTACAGAGAAATCATATTTTTACTATTAGATTCTCAGCCTGTCTGGTAGAGGTGGAAAACCATGGAATGCACCCTAGTTACAAACAAATCTGAAGAGCTTCCATTTTATGGTACTTATATTTCTGCTCCACTCCATTTCAACAGGGAATACTGCATATTTTACACCACTACCTTTATCTGACAGCTATACATACTGGCCACTTTGCATATTTAGATTTTACAAATAACATGTGATCATTTTATTCAACAAATAATTAAAAATATATAAAGTAAAATGGTGCAACAACAAAACCAACAAGTTGGTTCCAGATTAATGCATCATAATAGCACAGTATAGCAGCAGACGCTCAAATCATAAAAGTAAGAAATGCTTTATTTTATGAGTCTGTAAATTCAAAATACTTTCCTAATAACTTCCTATCCAATTTATGGGTCTGTTATATCCTAATAATTCCTTGAAGGTTCCCTTGAAAGACCCATGTAGTTTTGTACTAATTACATGTAAAATACAGACAAAGTTCTGAGACTGATGACTATTGACTTTCAGTTGATTTTCATGGAATAAAATGAAAGAAAGTCACTATCGGCTTTTCCTATCTAGGGGTCGTCACACTGACGACTCGCATGTTGACATTTGGCACGTGTTTTACACCGGATGCCCTTCCTGAAGCAACCTGGATTCAAACCCAAGGCGCCGCAGCGAGAGAGCTGCGCCTTAACCACTAGCCTACCAGGGACGGCTAAAATAATTTTCAAAATATTTATAATTCAGTATATGGAATTATTTATTGCTCGTTCTTTTATTATTGGAAACTTTATTCTTCATTTGTGTTGAATTGTATGTTTGTTTGTAAGCAGATTTCACATTTTTACCACACCTGCTGTCCTTGGATTAAAAGTTTCAAGGCTGTGTTAGTTTAGCATTGACAGTAGATATAAGTGGAGGTGCACCAAGGAAATTTCTTAAAAGATGAACAATAAAAAGTACCAAAGATGTAAGCAAATGTATATAACATTACGGATCATACAACGCCTACTAATTATCTGTGGGTTTGTTACTACAAGCAGCATCTTTCAGTGTACACATAGACATTTGGTCCATAGTCAATATAAAAATAATGATTATACCAGCTGTAAGCAAAGGATCCGAACACTTCTTTAACTACTGCTATCTGGTTTGTCATCACCATTAAATTTAAGTGTCATCTGAGCATACATGGCCTCAGCAGCTGTAGAAGCTCCATTCTACAGACCACGAGGCACCACACCACACACCTGCCCTCCTGTTTACATTATGAACTGTATATACTTGCATGATTCACGAACGCAATTAGCGTTCACTCCAGCCCTATCTTGGCTAAGAGCCAGTCAGCTGGAACTATCATCAGACCATATGAGATCACCCACTGCAGTGCTGACCTCTGGCTGACAGACAACGCAGTGTGTGGGCAGGTGAACTTCTTTAGATGACTCCAACTACTGCTAAAATATTAATGGTGGCATCAGCATCATATTTTTAGTTCCTCACTTATCATCCTCATTTCCCCTATTTTTCCCCTCTTGTCATCCCCTTGATGCCACACTAATGCACATCTTCTGCTCCACTGAGAACAGTGGCAAGGCAGATTCCCCCCACCTCAGTGGTGTACTGGACCAAACCTTAATGCACCAAGTTTGCTGAACACCACTGCAGAAAAACAGCATGAAACAGGAAGTGAATGAGCACAGGCCAGCCAGGAGGTTTAATTGCCAGTTAGATGATTTATCATCTATCGCCAGTCAGTTAATAAAAATGATGCTGTTTTTGTTTTTACGTACTGAGTGACCTCAAGGTGAGGTTATAGCACAAAGAGGCCGCTGACTGCTCTTCCATCAAAGTAGAACACATTAGCATTTACAAACATGCACCTTCATTAACATTACAATTACACACCGCATGAGCACATAATTGCGCTGGAGAGATATGCATTGCCTTAGAGAGACTTGTCTTTGAAACTCAGCCTCACCTTAATTTTACATACAAAAACTGAATTTCTAAAAAATAATTGTTGCCTAGTGGGCTGGGGGCAAAATAAAAGAAGGTCGGAGATCAGATTAGAATGTTTACAGTATTCTAAACAGCCTGTTTCTTCACAATGTCTGTTTTTCTTTTAGATTAAGAGCAAATATCTTTCAAAACTCACCCTTTTCATGCCTTTTCCAATAAATGACCTTCAGCTAATGCAACCCCGCCCACCCACACACACACACACACACACACACACACACCTTTACGTTGGTGATTTGCAAAGTGCCATTCTCCATCAAGGTTAGTCGAGGTTTATTTGCCTGAAGTCTTTCTCCATCCTTCTCCCATGAAATCTTGACTGAGGGCCCTCCGATTACACGGCAGTGCAGTTGGGCCACTGCACCCCGAGATACGGTCTGATTGGCTGGGCCTTGGCGAATGATCGGCGGGACACGACCTGAGGGACCTACCAGTTAGAGGGCACAGGAAGCAGAAATGTATTTTAGGGGTGTCATCTCTCTTCTGATTATTTATACAGGGGAGAAAAACAGTAAAAATATATTTGGAATGTATATGAAATAAATAACGCTTATAAAGTTGTCAAATGTTTAAATTCAAATACCACTGATGCACAGTAGGCAGAAAACATAAGGCTGCCCAAAGAGCAAAAAAAAAAAAAGAACAGGTTTTTCTTGATCTTTCTGAGCTGTATCATTGTCAAAGTGATGTTTTCTCTCCATTAACTGATGGAACAACGGACTGAAGTCTCACCTCCCTCCACCTCCAGCAGCGCCTTCGTCAACACACTTCCTGCTACACTGATGGCCTGGCAAATATAAAAGCCCGAGTCCTCGGGGTGGACGTCAGTTATAGTCAGATCCCCACTCATGGAGACGGAGTAACGGCCAGACTGTGACGGCGGCTGACCAGGAAACAGCAACATCTTAAACACAGAAAATAATACATATGACATTATGAGTCAACTTATCAGCTGTTTTATTTTTTAACAATTCTTCAAGGCTGTAGAGTGTCAGAAATGGTGAAAACTTTAATGTGCAATTTCCTGTAGCCTAAAGGCGGCAGCTCCACATTGTCCAAAAAAAAGTTCAAAACCTAAAGTTAATCAGTTCAGTCAAATAGATGGAAAATATTAACATTTGAGAAGCTGAAAAACAGTTGAACAATGAGCCAGTTATCAGAAAGATTCACTTTCTGTTGATCAGTGAATCAACTAATCAACTAATTGTTTCAGTTCTATTTACATTTTACTATAATCATCCAGGGCACATCAAATCAACATAGTCATCTAGAGCCTACATGCTAGCAGCTCAGTAAAGCTGTACAACTACAGTATAGAACCATTTGGATTTTTCTGATTTTAAATTCTTTTCTCTGTTTGTAGCCACCACACCTTTACTTTTTAAAAAACATGTTATTTTAAGTAAAGTAGGTCAGTAACAGCCCACTGCTGCTGGCTCAGTGTTTATTGATGAGACAAACACATGAACAGTAAGCAGGTGGACAGACCGGGTCTGAACCGACCGCAGGTAGTGGAGGGAGGCACCACACAGAACCACACTGTGCAGTCAGATCAACACAACGCAGCCACACCTAAATCTCTCTTTTAAAATCCCATTTGAAGACACACTGCTACTGTCTGGCTTTTCTAGGCTACCAGCGTTTGTAGCCTTATTGTGGTAAAATCAGCTGACATTGGTTCACTTTAGTCAGTCACACCAGTGTGCAAAAAAATGTTCTCCTGCATTAGTGCACAGAGATTTACTTACATACCCGAGTGAAATGTTTGCACCATAGGGCCCTGTAATGTGTAGCTAATATTTAAAAGAATATACAGCTTGTCCTAACTTTAAATAGAATAATAATGTTTTGATTT